CATGAAAATTCTTAATGGAGTACCCTCATTTTTTATTGAATTCCTAAAAAACAATATTTGTAATGAATTTTAATAATTTTTTCGAATTTTTTTTAAGCTTTATTCTGACCGATTCACCCGATTCCCGATCCGGATCGCCGATTCGCCAATCCGGATCGGTTTTTTGGAAGCCCGATCCGGGTCACCGATCCGTTTTTTAAACCATTGCATAAAACTCATGGGTTAATTGATGGAGATTGTAACAATTTGCAGGTAAGTTTTGTTGGCACTTATCCAGCCCTCAAATCAGATCACATGTGGAAGAGAATTACGAAGAATATTTGAGCCCAATGCTCAGTATTTATAAGGCATCCCATTTTATGTTCTTGGGAGAAAACGAACTTGAAAATGCAATGTCCTTCTCCAAATCACTGTTAGAGAAGGCTTTGTCCAACAATAACACCTATGATCGTTTCCTTTTTCTCAAGGATCTTCGAGATGAGGTTTGTAGGATCCCCATATGTTTGAAAGTATTTATTTAAATTTCAAATAAAATAAAATAAATAAATAATGGAATTGCATTAATGTATAATTATAGAATTCAGTTCATACAAGATAGTATTTGATTTTTATTGGGGGAGAGACGCGTTTGAATGTTCAACTAAAGAAAGCTCCTGGATTTTCTTTTTCAAAGATATCATATAATCATGGGTAATGATCAAAAGTATTCCCTTTTCTCAAATTTTTTAAAAATACCCAAATTTTTTTAAATCTACATCCATACCCATACGCTTCATGGACTCGTAGGGCCGTGAAGAATCATCATGCATCTAATAGGCCGTGATGTTCCAAGCATGTTCCATGCTAGTGACAGACCAATCCCTTGACATATACAGTTGTAAAAGCACCATCACAGTCCTAACATGATTATGATAGTCCTTGCACCCTTATTGACAGACCATCATGATATGAATAGGACAGCGATGGAACTTTCATTCTTTAACCCCCTAAAAGACCATTTAACACCATAATCCCTTAAAGGACCTGGTCCCCTTAAGACCATGATGGTCCGTCAATAAGGTTCTTGGACCATCACATTCCTATTAGCATAGTGATGATCCTTTTACAACTTTGGGGATCAAAAGACCGGCCTATCACTAGAGTTCAAGGTCCTTGAATCATCACAAACCTATTAGGTCTATGATGTCTCTATCAGGTATGTGAAGGACATTTTGAGTAAAAAAACAAAAAAACTAAACCATGACAAAGTGCGCAAGGATATAAATTTAATGAATTTGGTTTTTTTTTTTGGGGGAAAATGGGGATATGTTTTGTGATTACCCTAAAATGATTCTTATAATCATTACAATAGCATGGTTTGCAACACCCACTCTCATCAGGTCTTCTATCTTACCTATTGATGGGATGACGATAATTGTTACCATAAAACCCTAAATCCAAAACCCTAAACTTTAAGCCCTAAACATTGATCATTTTAATATTGTACTAATTGATTTTCTCTACTTTAATCACTATAATATGTGGGACTGCTTGGCATTTTAATCAATATGTATTGGTTTACTAATGCCTATGGTTGTGTTTTGTAGATTGAGTTTGAACTCAGTGCTCCATGGCTTGCGCGACTCGACCATTTGGTACATTTTTGGCACATTCAACAATTTGAAAATAATGAAATGCCGTGGATGGGGAAGGCTTGCTCTTTCGGGTAGGAAACTCTATCTTTTTTTTTCCGGTTATTAGGCAATAATTGTAGACTATATTGATTTGTCTATGCCATCCATTTCCAAAGGAAAAGGATAATTTATATTCATTTCCTCTATATTTTAAAACTTACCACAGAACAATGCCTTCATGAAGTTCCCCTTAGGGTTAACTCAAGAACCAAGTAAACTCAGGTTCTGTGTATATGCATTCTAATCACTCTTAACATTTTTCCTATCTAGCTCCCTAAGGACACTAACATATCTCTCTCTCTCCAAATCAAATCCTTTAATATTTTACAGAAATACCAACCTCTTATTTTTGTAGCCCTCTCTACTCTTAGGGGTCTCTTTTGACTCGCCAAAAACCGATTCAAATCTCGTCGCCTGCACACATTATCTATGGAAGCCATAAGTTAAAATATCAAACCTATTCTAATATTTTATACCTCGCATCATTTATGGGTAATACTTGTAACACTTTTATTAGTGATTCTCTTCCTTGCAAAAAAAATATAAATTTAATTGCTCTAATTACTGCAATTTGTAGATTGGCTGCTCGAACCCATAACATGTTGGCAGAACTCGCCAAAAGAAACTACACCTTACGCCAGTCGAACTTTAAGGATGAACTGGGAAAGCTTGAAAGGTATTGTATAATAAAACTCTATTTTTGAGTCCAATTCTAAGATTTTTCATGTTTTGGTACCTTTAAATTTCTCAAGGTCTTTGAATTTAGGATCCATGGCATGACCAATTTCAATCTGAACCTGGAAAGTTTTGACAAAATTTAATAAAATTAGAAGTCTTTTCTTAAGTGGGTACTTTACATCCTTTTGGGTTGATGCTAAATTACTTGCTGAAATAGGTGGGCAAAAAAGAGTGGAATCCGTGACCTAGGGTTTGGGCGAGAAAAGACTGTTTATTGCTACTTTGCAAGTGCCACTACATGCTATCATCCACACTTGTCCTTAGCACGACTGGCAAGTGCCCAGACTGCGATCCTTGTTACAGTTATTGATGACTTTTTCGATTTTCATGGATCCATGGATGAGCTTCAGAGTTTTACAGCTGCAATCAAAAGGTGTAAGTTGGACCCCTTATTAGCTACTAATTCTCGGATGTTTCCCAGCGGCCAATACGATTTCTGAATTCATCTCAAAAGAAATGAAATAATTAAAAAAGTTCAAAAATAGAAAAGCATAATTTAGGGGTCATAACCCATAACCAACCCATCATTTAGGGGTTAAACAATCTCAATTACCCTTGGGAGATTTATTTTCTTAATTTGGGTTTCCCTCCAGGTACCTCCTCATATAAAAAAAAAATCCAAATCACCCCCATTCAAGGTTAGGAACCATGAATAAGAGAGAGCGTTTTAGTATTTCGACCCACCCAAGAAGCCCCAATCAAATGACATAACCCTGCTTGTTTAGGGTGGATCAAATTATTTAATTACATTCTTGTTCGCATCACAGCCCTGAATACGAGCAATTTGGGAACTTTTTAATGTATGTTTTGATGAAGTAAGTGAGTGAAATGAAAATAAAATATAAACTCTACAATATTAATCGGGATCTTCAAACCCCTTAATGAGTTGATTTTACAAGGTGTTTTGACTCAGGAAATTATGGCCAAATGTTAAAATCCTCATCCAAAAATAAACAACCATTATGTGCAATTTGAATCCTTGCACTACCACACCATACTTTAACTACATTATTTGCATGGGAATGGAAGAGACATGGTCTAATACTATGGTTGGCACTTTATTGAGTCTCAGATGGGATGGAAGAAATCTAATTCGGGATGGGAAGGTTCTCTTTTCTGCAGTACATGACCATGTTAATACAATTGCAAAGGAAGCCTTTCACCAACAAGGGCGAGACATTACTATCGATCTTCGACAAATGGTAAGCTTCTTTTAATCCATCATGGTGATGAAATAAAATTTATTCTATTTCTTATGGATTTCAATAGTAGAGAATCTCATGAATGTAATGGCAGTGGAATGGAGCAGTGAATGCATGGCTTAAAGAGGCTGAGTGGAGCAGAAACAATTACCTCCCATCCATAGAGGAATACATAGAAGTTGGGATGACGTCAATTGCAGCTGATCTAGTCAGTGATCATGCTATATATTTGTCTCCTCTAGAGCTCTCAAATGAAATACCGCACCATGCTCGTTATGAAAAGGTCTCGGAACTCACCATGCTTTGTGCACGCCTCTTAAACGACTTGCAAAGCTATGAGGTAACCCAAATTTCAAATTTTTGAAATCTATAATCTAGATTCAATTTAGTTACTAAAGGATTACATCTTATTTTGTGTATGTCAAGGTCTGATGTGTCCATTCAATACACAGTAATAATCAGTTATAGCTGTCTTTTCAGAAAGAAAGTAAGGAGGGGAAATCCAACCTCGTTGTATTGATCATGAAGGCAAACCCAAATGCAACGACCCAAGATGCAATAGCATGCATTGAGAAGATATTGGATCAAAAGAAAAAAGAATTGGTGGAGAAAATTCTGATAGATTACAATGATAGCTTGCCTCGTCAATGTAAAATGATTCATTTAGGAACTCTCAAAGCATTCCAAATGTTCTTCAATGGCACCAATGCCTTTGATTCTCCTACACAACTTCTCCATGAAATCAATAAAGCCTTTTATGAAGATCTTACAATGAAAGCAAGTAAACTTACCCCCCTTAAGGATGAGCAAAGCCGCCTCGATGTTCATGTGAATGCATCTATGCCCAAAGAAAATAGATTGGCTTCTAAAAGTCAGGCTTGTCTACGCAAGTGCAACAAGCCTAGCCGAGGATCATGGGCCACACCCCTTCGTGGCTTTGGTTTCAGACCAAGGGTTAATCTTTCAGTTCTTAAATCTCCATGGTTCAATAACCATATAACTCGAATGAGGGTGTAAGAGGAAATATGACACAAATCTTGGGTCTCATCTTTGAAGAATATGCAGAGAATTTCATAATTCACATGGTGGACGGGTGATTACGCAGCACTTTTCAGTTTACCTTTTTGTTTTTCTTTTTTCTTTTTGTTGGGAAGAAATATTAATTGAGAAGAGATGGTATTATTAACATATGCAATGATTCCCAAAGAAGTATGTGTGGCGTTGCTAATTTATTACCTTTTTAGATAATGAAGATCTGAGATAGTTGTGAAAGTTGTATTCTTATGGGTTCCTTGTGCACTAAAGTAGCATTGGTTCTTTTCCATAATGGGAATGTTATGGCATTCAATGCCCCATCTTTGTTGATTTTAGTATTCTTACGTTCTTCTCTCATTCATCCTTACATCTCAAAAAGAGATAGTGTTAATAAATCATCCAACAATCTCAAAAAAAGATTTATTAAATAAAAATAATAATTCAAGTAAAAAAATATTTGGACCATTAGTTTTTTTGAAATGGATTTTAAGACTGAATTTTTAAAGACATGTAATCTCTAACATGGAGATCATGAATATTTAAAAATAAAAATAATAAATCTAGTAAAGAAATATTTGGACCATTAATTTTTATTGTTTTTATATGTAGAAATGCAGTCCAGTCCAGTCGCATGAAACAATTTTCCTTTTCTTTATTTTTCAGCCAGCTAATTCAGGCGGTTCCAAATTTTGGCTCGTCCTGTGAAAATTTTGAAAAAGCCTGTTTTCAGTTGGCGGGAGCGCCGATTGTAAATTTTGAGCAAGCTTCTACATTGCAATTGGCGGGAGCGCCGATTGTGTTTTTTATTCATAATTTCAAGTTTAAAAAATGATGACTTTCCATCTTTATCTTATAAAAAACACAAAACCCCCTCATTTCAATCCACAATGTCCACAGCTGACCAATCACATTCCACCAAAACCAATCGGACGGTCCGGAAAACCCCCAGCCTCCTCACTCGGATCGTCCCCAATCCAACGGTCCCCAATATCCTCATCGCCTATAAAAACAAACAAAGGGATAAGCAATTAAAGGAGAAGCGGTTTCGAAGCAGACGTTTTACAGTCGGAGGGAGAAGCAAATAAAGGGATCTCTCTAGAGAGAGAGTGGGAGGCGGTTTTCCTTTAGAGAGAGAAAGGGAGAATGTCAGGAAGAGGGAAGGGTGGCAAGGGTTTGGGAAAGGGAGGAGCTAAGAGGCACAGGAAGGTGCTTCGAGATAACATTCAGGGGATCACAAAGCCAGCCATTAGGCGTTTAGCGAGAAGGGGAGGGGTTAAGCGTATCAGCGGCCTCATCTATGAGGAGACGAGGGGTGTTCTGAAAATTTTCTTGGAGAATGTCATCAGAGACGCTGTGACATACACTGAGCACGCCAGGAGGAAGACTGTGACAGCCATGGATGTGGTTTATGCTCTCAAGAGGCAGGGGAGGACCCTCTATGGGTTTGGCGGTTAGGGTTAGGGTTTCCGCTTGGGTTTGAAAATGAGAGGGCCAGTGCCTCTCTCTCTGTCATGCTATCTTTCTCTCTCAATTTCTCTCTCTCTCTCTTTCCCTATATTTCTTTCTCTCTCTACATGTATCTCTCTCTCTCTCTCTATCAATCTCTGTAGAGTGAAGGTGAATGGTGTTTTCTTGTAGAGATTTACTCAGGAACATGAATTAGGACATGGCTTCTCTTTTCCATTATATTTTGAATGCAGTCTGTGCCGCTGTTCTTGTAGAAATTGGCTTCTGAAATTAAAATTGGAAATTCCTTTTAATCTCTTTTTCTTTCTCTCAGTCTTTATGTTATTTACTAAGTTCCTCTCTCTTGACTCTATATGAATGGCATCGCCTTGTTTTGACTTCTGAGTAAATGTTTATAATGTACATGGGGTATTTTAGTGCAACACATTCTTGCTTACTGAGTTCCTCTCTCTTGAATGTACATGAATGGTATTGATTTGTTCTGAGTAGCTTATGATGCACAAGGTGTATTTTAGTGCAATACAGTCATGTTTAATGCTGGATAGCAGTGACTTATAGCTTTGAGCATTGATATATTCTGATCCTTGGTTTTAGAAGCTTTATGGTGCTAAATGTTGCCTAGATATTATTTGAAAGTATTTTTATTATCTTTTGATGTTCATAGATTCTTATACTTGGTTTAAGAGCATTTGTGGTGCGTTGTCTAGAAATTATTTGGAAACATTTGTATTTGGGAATCTGATCAATCCTCAAATATCCGATATGTTGCAATTTTATTTTGTTGACATGAAAATTCTCTAAATCTTCTATCCTCTGTATTCATCCAAGTTCCCAGTGATTCAATGAAGATTCTGTTAGGATTTAGTATTTCAAGCTCATTTACCTATTATGGCCCTCTGTTAAGCATTTGCTAAAGGGAAAAGTTAATGTAAGGTTGCAACCTTAAAATGCAGAATTGCATATGCACCTCAAAAATCTATTGGAAATGTTATTTTAATGTTGAAAAAACCCTCTAATTGATCATCTTGACATCAAGATGCATGAATATGAAAAAAAAATGGTTTGAGTCTTGAAAATAGTGCATCTTGCAACACATTATCTAGACTGTCCATTTTCAATATTTTCATATATTTATTGATCTACTTGATTTTAACTATTTTTGGAATTTAAAATTTTCTAATTAGGTATGAAAATAGATTTTAAGATAATACTAAGTATTTTTTACTGCAAAGTTACATGTTATAAAATTTTAAGGTGTGCCTTACTTGGATTGTTTAAGGTTGCAACTGTATAGAAACCACACCCTTTGTTAAATAAGTGGAAATGGCACCATATTGCAAATAAAATCCTTGTGAGACAATTTTTGTCCTTTTTATAGGTAGCATTATATCTAAAATACTGTATATTTGAAATACCATGTTTTGTTGTGCTTTATCATGCAAAACTGTGGTGCTTATAGTATATTAGGATATTTCCTTGTGATTTATTTTGCAAAATCCTGGTTCATTAGACATTTCCTTGATGGTGATCTGCATTAGATGTTTTGTTGGTTATCAAATGCCCTCTACTGAAGATAGGTCAAAAATTAAACAGAGGGTAGTTCTATTGTTTGGCAGTAATTTTGCTTATGTGAGAAACAGGTCATGATTCATGAATCCATTTGGTTTTTTACTAGGAGCATATGTTTTTAAGATTCATTCTATGGTGCATTTCTTAAAGGAATTGTGCCTCTAATTCTCTTGTAGCACTCAATACTTTTTTCTTTAGACCAGAATGAGGTTGTGACAGCATTCCTCCATTGACTGTACAAATAGACAAGCAATGTGAGTCCCTTCTTTTCAATAAAAAGGAATCCCTATTTGCATGGTTTGAAGAATTCAGTGGAGTTGGATGATCCCTCATGTCCTGATTATTTTCTCAAGTTGGAGAGAAAAATGTAGAAAAACTTTTGCATTATTTTCATCTTTGAAATTTATGCAGTCTTTCAAGGGCAGGCAGATAAGGGTCTGATCATGCAAACAATTTTAGTAAGTGTTTCTTAAAACAGCTTGGCTCTGTGTCTGAAGTTGCTAGGGCTTCTTTGCTCCCGGACAAGAAGTTATTATAGGAACCATGGCTGGGAACAAATCCCATGCTAATAGGTGTTTGTCTAAAGTGCACCTTTTGAGGTGTTTGTCTAAAGTGCACCTTTTGAGTAGTTGCTCAAGTTGTATCAATATATGTTATTCTGAATTAGGAATCAATAGTAACATTATCTTGGGCAATGTTTTAAAGTGATGATTTCAGTTAGGACCTGATGGGGTCTCAAGTCTGTCTATCGGAATCTTAAAAGCTCAACATTAAATTATGGGAATAGATGAGATTTGACAGGTTCCTTCTTATGGTTTTGGTTCTAGACTTGGCAGCTTGTTGAGTCTGAGTAACTCGGGCGAGTTTGAGTCGGACTCATTGAGTTTTGGAACACAGATAGGTGCTACTATTGTATACTTTCTCCCTATTCCTCTCTACATCTAGCTCACGACCATATGTGCATGAACCTTATACACCTATATAGTATCCATCCTCTTTTGAAATCGTAAGACTTTAGAGCCAAATTTTGGAAGACTTAGAGTACAAACTATTGAAGATGGCTACTGTAGTAAAAAAAGGTCCTATTGGGAATTAGGATTCTCTATTTTTTTTTTTTGGGTAAGTAGGATTCTCTTTTTTTCCTCCTAGTAGATAAACTTTTTAACACGTACATGTACAATTCATTCTTCTCCCATTTCCACATGGTACAAACTCTTGTTACATGATTGGTGCAATGCACTTTACCTCTTGACTTATATTTTTTATACTATACTATATTAATAAAAAAAAGAAAAAAAGAGATAAAATTTTTGCGGGTATTCAAAAGTGGATCTAAGGACCTTTGGCCCATATCGCTTGTATCTTTCTAAAGGTAGTTATCGTGGAAGGATGGAACTAAAGAGAGAGCTGCCAAAAAAATTAAAAGAATGGGGAAAATGCTAGAACATGGTAAAATAGGGAAAATTAAAAGAAATGATAAAGAACATAAAAGTATATAAAATATGTAGAAAAAGTTTTTAAAATACAGAAAATTAGAAAACTGGTTAAATATCAATTTTTTTCATAATAGAAAATAGAAAAATTAAAAATTCATAAAAAATATAAAGTTTATAAAAACCTAATTATAAATTAACTGTTAACTGATAAATACAAAAATTGAATCAATATATATATTAACAAATTTATAATTGATTACAAATAAAATATACCTTGAGTCGGGGTTTAGACTCGGCAGCCTTGCCCAGTTCAAGTAACGCGTTTCACTGATTCATGTAGAATGAAGATGAATGGTGTTTGTTTAGAGAATTACTTTTGAGAGCAATAGGAAATGGTCTCTCTCTCTCTCTCTCTTTCTTTATGTAATGAAATTATGAAACTGTGAATCTGTCACATTGTGCTGTTAGTCTGGAAATCCTCCTTTGAAGAAATAAGCGGATGGGTTGTCGCTACCCCCTCTTCTCTCTCTCCCTCTCTCTCTATATTTTAGAATGGATGTGAATGGCATTGCTGTGATTTGGGTTTTGGGTTTGAATGACATGGAATTTCGGTCATCTAAAATTTTGCTTTCGATGCACAAATGCTATAGAGAACATATGAGATTTTAGAGCCCCTTTAATGGTTGTGTATGGTTAATTTTGGTTTTGGTGCCCTGATATAAAAGAGAACATTTGAGATTTGAGAGTTACTTGACGGCTTCAGGCATGCTTTGCATAACAGTGTATTTATGACCAACGTGTGTGCATGTTATCATTTATATATTTACTTCATTCATGGTTATGCTTGTAATTATAGTGGCAAGTATACACTTGTGTTTTAGTGCATTATAACGTGCATCAATGTCATTTTTCTGGTGCATTAGCATTGAGTGATAACTTTTAGGTTATAACATTTACACATTTCTAGGCTTGGTTTATAATGTCTTCATGCAACTTGTTAGGATCTAGGATTGAGAAATATGTGATACACTTTTTATTTGGGTTGTCCATTTTGAGCTACTTTTTAGTCACAATCATCAAACATTCCCATATCCATTTTCTGTTATGATCATATGAAAATCTGCTTAAATAATGTCATCTGCCATTTACTTACCGAAGTTCCCATCCATCCAATGACCTTATGTTGCGCTTTAATGATGAAAGATCATTTATCTAATGTGGGTCTTGTTCTATGGAATTGTAAAGTATTCTTAATTATGGATTTCACATTATGTTGTTTCTGAATTTCCTCCTAAAATGTGCGTTCGCAGTAGGATTATGTGTAAAACAATATTGTTAAATCTAACAAGGAAGCAGAACTTTGAACATAATATTTTGGTCCTTGCACAAAGATCCATGTCATGAATCTATTTAGTTTTCAATACGGTGGAGCTCCCTACATCTTGTCTGTTTCTGAGATTGATTCTAGGGGTCTTTTTGGATTAATTCGTCCTCATTTCAGTTATCTTTAGAGATTGTAACAAAGGCCATTCCTCTACTGATAGCACAAATAAAAAGGTGACGTGGGTCTCCTCGGTTTGAAGGAGAAAGCTGAGATGAATACCTTTCTCAGCTCATATACTTTCTTTAGATTTGGAGGGAAGCTATGGAAACTTTTGATTGTTCCATTTGAGAAAGGAGAGATAATAACTTGCACTGCACAACTCAACAAGCCCTTTCGACGTGCGAGGCGTGGGGTGACCTAAAACCTTTCCCAAGCAATTCCTCACATCTCCAAAACAGTCACTGAAATATCTGTTTAGGAAACTTTTAAGACTTCCATTTTTTTTTACTGCAGGATGGTTAAGGAAAATGATCATTTAGCTTAGTCTTAAATTGTTTGCTTTTTTTTGTCTTTTCTTTTTTTTGCTGATGGGTTGGGAAACCAGGGACGACTGTTCTACCTGAAGCTAAGTAGGTATATGTCCTACATGAATTTTTTGCAGGGCCCACAACCAATTTGAATAGCACATGTTTGTTTCAAAAGTTACCTTTGCTTTGTGTGTTGCTAGGCCTTGTTGCTCATGGACAAGAGTACCAAATTGGTGCATGGAGAATTGGTACCCCGTCGGCCAGGAGCAATAACATGTCCATCCCATGGATATGCATGCCACTTACATTGTACTTGAAGTGGGCCTCATGGTAATTGCTGGAATTCTAATCAACATAGCATATGATGACAAATTTGGAATCAACAATGACACTACCTCAAATGCCAGTATTGGAAAATTTCTCCCCCCCTCTCCCATTACTTCAAAAACACTTGCAAATCCACAAGGTTATAGTCCAAAACTTTCCATCTATCACTTTTGGAATCTTAAAAATTACATCGACCAATATTGGTAGATACTAGTTTATGCCATTGATGATGGCAACTATAGCAAAAGGAACCTATTGGGAAATGTAATTCCCCGATTTCCACATAGTATAAACTCTTGATGTGTATATCTAGCATAATGTACCCTAACTCTTGTATATATCTAGTATAATGCACTCTTTCGAACAAAAAGAGCAAATTTTTCTGGGGAACCGAAGTATGTTGAGGAGCTTTGGCCCCTAACTCTTGTATCTTTCTGAAGGTAGTGATTCTCCAAAGAGGAAAGATTTAAAGAAAGCAAGAGAGCTTTTTGGCTTGAAGATAGGCACTGCATGACCAGCCCCCTTGAATGTTGCAAAAGTCAAGCCATCGTATTCTTGTACCCATCCGCTCACCTGATCCATAACAAATCTAATGAAGTGAATTACATGTTGCTGAGTTTTAGTTACATACTATGTTCCTTTTGCTGGCTACTTAAATTATGCTATGTTCTATCTTTTTGTGTTTCAATTAAACACAGCTATGTTCCTGTCTTACATGTTTCAATCATACTATGCTGTGCTCTATGTTTTATTCTACCATATTCTATGGTTTAAGTATCAACCAAATTCTTCCATTTTTTATTTTTTGAGAAATATCCTTCCATGTTTTCTGTTTTATGTTTCAATTAAATTCTAGAATTTCTATATTTTTTAAAAATTGAGGGTAATGTTCCAGCAGCTGGCATTATACCTACCATTGGACAGTAGGGCAGGGGATTCACAAAACCTTAGAGGTAATGTGCAAGGATATTGACCAGTGGCTCCACATGCCATATCTATATTTTGAGGGTAACATTCCAGCGGCTGGCATCATGCCTACCATTGGATAGGAGGGCAGGGGATCCACAAAACCTCGAGGTAACATGGAAGAATATTGATCAGTGTCTCCACATGTTGATCGCCAGGGATTCACTTAATCCACCCTGATCCAACGGTGTGTAAGGGCTATCACACCATGCTATGTTGGCGAGTCTCGTCCCCTGATTAGTGTCCATATCTTCTAATTGTTTGTACAAATTATAATGGGAAAGAGAGTAATATTACTCGTGTCATTCTCTTGGTATGAAACTATAATCAAAGGGAAGAAAGGACTCTTTTTTTCACGAAAAAAATTTTCTGAGAGTTCATGATGTATAACTGCAGCCCAAAATGCACATCTTGATTTTAATGGAGGATATCTGTGGAAAGAATGTAAAACACTAGTCACTACTAATTTCGGAAAGGTATTTGTTAATTGTTATTAACTTGCACATGGTCAAATATGTATTTCAGGGCCATGTAAAAGATTCAAAATAATCTCATTTGATAAATGAACGACTAATTTTTTGTTTACTTATCTAGAGATGGATCTAAGCTTGATATTATATCTATGGTGATTTGGTGTTAGAGTTGGACATTTTGATGAGAAAAGTAGCCCTGCAGTTTTGTGTTTCATACACACCATGACACTTGACCTTCAAAAAGACAACTAATTGCAATATTTCCTCCTGTGAAGTTGAGTGTGCAGCATCACTTTAGGATTGTCATGCAATATAGCTGAGGAATTCATGTACCGAGTTTCATGTGGCATCTGTAAAAACATTTTGTTTGCTTTGTCTTGGATATTTCTGGTAAGGGTGTTTCGGTACTTTGCTTGACTTTTTTCTGTGAAAGAATGTTCTTTGAGTTTTTTGTTGTGCACGCTTATTCATATTCATTAATTTGTGTTTTAGTTTATTAGGTGTTAATGTCATTTCCTTGAAGGTTCTTTTAGGTTAGTATATCTTCTAATCTTGAATTTGTATTGGAAAGACAGTAGGTCATGTAATTTACTATATTTGTTTAGTTTACGAGGCCTGAAAATTTTCTTGTCATTTCCTAGAATGTTCTTTTGGGTTTAATGTATTGGGGTTATATACAATGAGACCATTTATCTACATGGAGGTCACAATTACTTGCAATCATCTGATGCGAAATTTAATAGCTTGGGTGTACCACAAAGTTCAAGAAATTTTCGGTTGAACTTTGAGTTTGGTCAATGGAATAAATGCAGCCCCCCACTTTACATCCAAAGGTCAAGATTAATTGTGACCACCTTGTACCAAAGGTATTTAATAGCTTGGGTGTATCACAAAGTTCAAGAAATTTTCGGTTGAACTTGGAGTTTGGTCAATGGAATAAATGCATCCACCCAACTTTACATCCAATGGTCAAGATTAATTGTGACCACTTTGTACCAAAGGTAAATGGTCTTGTTATATACTTTTCCTAATGGATTTTATTGAAGTTTGATTTTAGCTATGTGATAGTAGTAAATGTAGCTTAGGATCACTTTTTAGAACTGCAAGAGAAGAATACTTTGTTGCTTTAGGATAGTTTGTATGAAAAGATAGTACAAATCCATTTGCAGATGAGAAAATCATAGGGCCAAGAAAGCAGGAACTGAGGGAGCCAGGACTTCAAGGAAATAAGGAATTACAGAATGGATGAGCAATGATTTCTCTCAAAACAGGTATCGAGGTAGGGAAGTAAAATAAAATTTATGGTTGGGAATTTACTCTCAAGAATAGCTTGGAATAAATTACAAAAAGAAAAATGAGGAAAATTAAATTAAAAAATTTGTTAAAGACTAAAACAAAGAAAATGTAATTTTTGTCATATTCAAAAGAATTCAAGTTTCTATTCCTTGAGTTGATCATTTACTGTATCAATGGATGGATGGATGGATGCGAATTCAAGTTTCTATGCCTTGAATTGATCATTCACTGTATCAATGGATGGATGGATGGATGGATGAAGAAAAACAGAGTGAACCCATTGCAACCGCAATGGTGGTTCCGTTCTCCATCGACCTCCATTCATTGATTGTGCAATGACGATCAAATGAGAAGGAGAGTTTTCCATAGTCCATAGATAGTAGTAGACTTACCCTGTTTAGAGGGTACCTGCTTGTCATGATACCAGGGTCTCCAAGGGCTTAAGGTAGGAATCCCCAGAGCATTCAAACTGTATCTAGTTGATAGTACTGGTACCCTTCCATCCGTGTCTCCACTACACAAGAAGGAACTCATAATAACCCTATTTCCTTGAAAAAATCCAAAACATTCATCCTATTTTATTAGTAAAGAAAAATATACTGCACCTGTAAACCCAAATTCTGAGGCCAGCTGCAATCAACTTCTTTTATATGGGAAGAACTGAAGGCTTGGAATCTGCCCCCCCCCTTGAATATTTCTTCGCTGCACCGCACCGATTGCTTAAGTCTCATTCACAAAGTCACTCTAAAGCAAGAACAAATTCTTTTTTGAGGTAAAACCAATTAAGGATTTTACCAGAAGTTGCTGAAAAGAGCCTTTTTTAAAAAAAAATTTCCCCCCTTCATAGTCCACATTGTAATTTTTTTTTCTGTGTTTTTTTTTTTCGTCTTATGGGTTGTTTCGTTTTTTGGTCGTTTAGTTATAATAAAAGCATCAGTTGTGGCGATTTCATCAGTGTTGGACCACCACGCACATAGAGATAATTATCCAAATGGTAATTTCTGATGCGCCAACAGCATGTAACTTAGTATCTTTCTGAAGGAAAAAGTTTCTGTAGGGCTGTGACCTTATTCTATTCAAGTAAGGTGCACCGTAAAATTCCGATAGAAGAGAACGTTTTGAAGTTTCAAAACCTTTGAAGCCATCTAGACGATATATTTTAGGGAAAATAATTTTATATCTCATATTCTTAGGTTTTATTTTTTGATTAACCTAAACAAATATGATAAAGGCATGTTATTTTTTAACTCAATTATTTGTCTCTCTTCACTTATATACTCCAAACTTCTTTGTCTCTCCTCCTAATAATCTCTCACCTCCATGAAGTACTTTTCCTCTAAAAGTTTGGGAAGATGGTTTTTAGAAAAGGTATATTTTTTTAGATTAATTTGACCTAAAAAAACAAGTTTAAATTAGCTTATAGTACTAGAAGAAATAAAATCTATAATTTTTATGTTTCAATATATCTTTTAAAACTTTGGGTGTATTGTGAAATGAAACCTAAATATAAAAAGTATGGAGAAATTTTTTTTATATTTTAATTGGTTATTCATCCGCACGATATATGGATAAAAAAAATTTAAAAATCAAGTCTTAAAAATAGTATATTTTGTAATAAGTTATCTAAATATATATTTTCAAACGCTTATAGATACTTTCGATTTGTACTTTTGTTTTAATTTTAAATTACATAATTAAGGTTAAGCATGAATTTTCAAACCCTCTAAAGTTTGAGTTACATCTTCCGACACAATTTAGATTTGCGCGCCCTCTAAAGTTTGAGTTCCATCGTCCGACAAAATTTTGATGTGCGCCTTACTTGTATAGTTTGTAAGACTGGCACGTTGTACAAACTTCACCCCTCTCGAAATGGATCATTTTCTCTCTAGAAGAGATTTTATGCTACCGATAGAGCATAATGTCGGTTTACTCAATTGGGGAAAACTCAATCCAGGAGTATTTTTAGGACTATGAAATTTGGGGAGGTAACCTTTTACACCCACATACTATAGTCCATAATTTTTTTTTTTCTAAATTGCATATTTTATGGGCTGGAAAAAAATAATACCACATTAGATTGATAGAAACTGTCCAATTTTTGAAGGGTGAGATCTGTTAAGAAATTCAAAATTCAATTTTTTTTTTCTTTGGAATATTAGGCAATTTCCAAAATTTTAGTTCAAAAAAACCATTCCAGGTCCGTCTTCATCCTGAGGTAGTAAATATACGATATGCTCACACAGAGTACAGTATACACTCTAAAAGAAGATTATTTAAGCTATACACAACTTTTCTAGGGTAACATTTCCCAAAAAAGAAATTCCAAACCACAAAGAAAAGTATTTTATTACTTATTTTCTTTTGGATGCGGTTTGTATAAGGTTGTAGACCTTAAACAATGAAATTAAGACGCACCTCCAAATTTGATTATAACATGTAATTTTGGTGTAACAAATTTTTAGGATAGCCTGAAAATTTATTTTCATCTCTAATTATAAAATTCTAAACTCTAAAAATGATTCAAATCAAGTAGATTTACAAATATATTAAAATCTTGAAACTGGACAATCCAAATAACTTGTTGCAAAGAGCACTACTTTTGAAACTTGATTTTTTTTATTTTTAATTTTTCATATTCATGAATCTCGACGTCGAAATAATCAATTCAAAAGTTTTTCAATATTAGAACAATCTTTTCTGATGAATTTTTATAATGCACCTCAATTCTATAAAGTTTTTCCTTTCTTTTTTTAACTAAGGTTGCAAAAGCGTTACTTGCAGATGGTCCAGTTCCTGAGGTGGTTGCCATCGGTGACGTGAAGGGCTCTTTGAACATCTGCACGGTTGTAGGAAGCCGTCGCATAGTCGTCAAGGCATGGGTCGTACCCTCCCAATACCCTAGGAAGCATCTGTTTTATCGGTTGGAAAAACATAATATTACTCAAACATTGAACTTACTGCATTGGCAATAATTAAGGGAAAATTTACCATACCAGGGGTATTTAAAAAAAAAAAAGTCTCTAGAAACGTGTAGGAGCCTTTATTCCCCATTGATCTACCCCCAAATCAAAGCAGTTTTAAGATATTTGTTGTCCAAAAATACCGATATCTTATAGAGTGACTTATTTTTGTAAGATATTGGTGTTGCAAAAAGAGAAATTGAGATGCTTAGAGTGAGTATTGGTGTTTTAAAACACTACAATCTTGTGGAAATTTAACAATGGTAAGATAAATATTCAAATATACCAATATCTTACAAGGTAACTTAGAGAATACTGGCATTCAAGATTACCGATATCTCACGAAGTGCTTAGAGTAGGATATTGGCTAATTGAAAAACTTAAAATTTACGTGACCAAACAACATCTACGTCTTAAGTACCATGACCCTCTGATCATCAGATGGAGGGTGAGGGAGACCCACCAGAGCATGATATGTTCACCTCTCTCTCCAACATCTATCCACCTAATTGGATGGTCAGATTTTTATGAAATAGAGTTTCTATGGCTATATAGATCAAAGTTTACTTTCCAAAAGATATCCTCTCGAGAGATGCTGTCTTTGCAATTCCTAAGTAGTACTAAAATACCTAGATCTTTTAGGGTGATTAAAATGTAGAATACTATTAAAAGATGAGTGATTTCATGCAATGATTGTATAGTAATATAATGAAACAATCTTAAAAAATTATGTTAAAACCATTTGTTTGATCCAAATTTTAAAATACACTCTTTTCATTCTAATGAACAATCACCAAAAAAGAAAAATTTGAAAACACAACTTAAAAAGTATTTTTTAGTCCAATTAACATAAGTCGTCCATTTTGATGAGATACTTAGATTTGAACCTTAGAAGCATCTTTGTTCTTTACAAGTCTTTTAGATAACTTTATTATCATTAGATTAACAATGTTAAAAAAGAAAAAATTGATTTTGAATTCATAAAGGCTTAGATCTTAAAATTCACCAAATGGACGGTCTAGATTCATTGTTGGAGGGGACTCATTTTGACCATATATAACGTGCAATTTTTTTTTGAGATTGATTATTGAGATGAAGAGAGTGTGTATGCAAAATTTTGAGTCATACAAATACCACAAATATAGTTTTCTAAAAGTGTGGTTTCATTATATTATAATGGCATGGTGACATGATATCATTTTCTCATGCCGGGAGAACATGGTACAAAAGTTTCAACCATCTCATGTAAAATCCGACGGGAGGAGGGCCATGGTTTCTGTACCTTCTTTTGCCATAGGTTTATTGGACTTCGATATAAAAAAATAGAGAAAAAAAGAAAGAAAAAAGAAAACGACAAATGTCATGGAAAAAAAGAAAAAAAAAAAAGAGAGAAATATCATAGGAAAGGGAGAGGGAAATATTCGTTCAATTTTATGTGAACGTTACGCAGAAGGGCAGTACTTATGTTTTTTTTCCAAAGTAGTTTCTTGTTCGATATTAGGAGTAGCGGTCAGTGGGATGTTATTTGTTTTTCCTGCAAACCATAAGCCTCTCAGGTTGGTGGGGAGGGCATATCTTTATGTTTCAAATATCGAACAACTCTAAATATGGTTTAAGTTAGGCATAACAAGTCGTGGTAAGTGCATAAGTTATCGATCTGAGGTTTAGAATTGCGATTGTTTCCCAGTCCATTTTTTTAAGCTTGGACCGCTTGTTTTATGTTAAATTTAAGGATAACAAGCAGTCCAAATTTGAAATATCATACAGCCAGAGCTGTTCGATATTTGAAACATCAGATTGTTTATTCTTCTAAAAGAATAAAAAAATAAAACATTAATTTCCAAGTTTGATATTATAAGTTTCAAACAATATTGGGGAAAAGAAAATAGAAAAATAAATGGCCGGGAGGTGTTTTTCATAAAAAAACACCGGTCCAATGTCGTAGATCTCGTACCGGCATCCTTGCATATAATATTCCTACAGAATATGCTACATACGGTACGGACGTAATTTTTCCCAAGGGAAAGAGAGGACTAGGAGTGTGGCCTCAAAGATGAGATTTCTCTTTCAAGCGGCCTAAAAAAAAAGTTTATATAAAGCATCAACGTTGTAAAACATCTCAAAAAAAAATCATCAAAAATATTGTTGAAAAACCTTCCAATGATAATCCCAAACGCTATGACAATATATAAAAAAAATAAAATCGAGTGCTAAAAATAGTGCATTTTATAACACGTTATTTAGATCTTTATTTTTTAAAATTCTTAATTGTTTACAGATTTGCTCACCATTTTTGGAGATTAATTTCAGATAGATTTTCAAGCCATAATAACGGGCTTTTCTTGCACAAAAAAAGTTTAGAGGTCCACCTTACTTTGATTATTAAAAATGGACTCCTTAAACAAGCAGCACCCTTTGATGGTGGAAGTGGAAATTAAAGTAGAGAAGTTACCTTGGTTGAAGAGGAGTTGGAAAACTTGTTTCTTTCCTGAGAGTGAGAAGCGTTTGGAATACAACGTGGAGTGTAGAGGCTGTAAATGTCAATTTCCCCATATTGCTTCAACACTTCGTCCACGCCATCTTTGCAACGCTCGTTGCTCCATGTGTCGTTGCTATGGAAATTACAGTTGTCTTTTATTATTTGATGGGTCTCATCTGAAACCACTGCGTGGCTCCATGCGTAGTCCACTAACCCTTCCCAATCGTGCCCATCACACGTCTCTGGATTACCCACCCGACCAGGTACAAATGTGAACAAAAGTTTAGTCTCTCTTTCTCTCTCTAACCTCCATGCATTTCCTGACTCTCTCTCTCTAGCCTCCCCCTCTCTCTCTCTCTGTTTAACTCCTCTCTCTCTCTCTCTACTCTCTCTCTCTCTC